AAAATGTCCTTTTTTTGGCTTTCATCCTAGTAGGGTATTTTCACTTGATAGGATTCTGGTTGACTTTTTGTTTTTTTTTTCTTTCCTTTAAAGATGTCATTCCTATTCTTCTGGCTTCCATTGTTTTTGTTTTTTTTTGTTGTTGTTTTTGAGATGAAGTCTTGCTCTGTCATTACCCGGGCTGGAGTGCAGTGGCGCAGTCTTTGCTTACCACAACCTCGCCTCCTGGGTTCAAGTGATTTTCTTGCCTCAATCTCCCAAGTAGCTGGGACTACAAGTGTGTGCCAGCACACCTGGCTGATTTTTTTTTTTTTCCCCCCATATTTTTAGTAGAGACAGGGTTTCACCATGTTGGCCAGACTGGTCTCTAACTCTTGACCTCAGGTCACCCACCCACCTCAGCCTCCCAGAGTCCTAGGACTGCAGACGTGAGCCACAATGCCCAGCTAGCACTTCCATTGTTTTTGATAAGTCAGCATTCATTTGTGTCATTTTCCTCTTGCTGCTTTTAAGATTATTTCTTTGGTTTTCAGATGTTTAACTGTGACATGACTAGGTATGGTTTTCTTTCAGTTTATCCTGCTCGTGATTTGCTGGGGTTCTTACATTTTTTAATTCATGCTTTTTTTTTTTTTTTTTTAAACCAGATTTGGGGGGTTTCTTCAACTTTTTTTCCTGCCCATCTCTCTTTTCTCTGATTCTGGGATTGTAATTATATATATTTTAGAGGTTTTTATATTATCCCACAGATCTCTGAGTCTCTATTTTTTTCCCAGTCTTTTTTCTGTGTTTTCTTCATATTCGATACTTTCTATTAATATGTCTTAAAGTTCACTGATTTTTATCAACTTCTAATCTGTTAGAGTCATTCAGTGAATTTTTTTTTGTTTGTTTGTTTTTTTGGTTTTTTTTTTGTTTTTTTTTTTTTGAGATGGAGTTTCACTCTTGTTACCCAGGCTGGAGTGCAATGGCACGATCTCGGCTCACCACAACCTCCGCCTCCTGGGTTCAGGCAATTCTCCTGCCTCAGCCTCCTGAGTAGCTGGGATTATAGGCACGCGCCACCATGCCCAGCTAATTTTTTGTATTTTTAGTAGAGACGGGGTTTCACCATGTTGACCAGGTTGGTCTCGATCTCTTGACCTTGTGATCCACCCGCCTCGGCCTCCCAAAGTGCTGGGATTACAGGCTTGAGCCACCGTGCCCGGCCTCCATTCAGTGAATTTTTAAAACGTTTTCTATATTGTTTTTTGTTTTTAAAATGTCTGCGTGATTCTTTTTTGTCTGCTTTCTCTTGATTTCCTATATGTTCTTTTATATTGAGCAGCTTTTCTTTTAAATCCTTAAGCATAATTACAGTACAGCTACTTTAGAATTTTTCCTGCTAATGTTCATGTATGATGTTGACCATTTTTATTTATTCCTTGTAATTTTGGATTACATGTTAAACATCTTAAATGATACATTGTAGAGACTATATTCTGTTACATTCTTCTGAAGAGTATTGATTTTTTTTATTTAATCTCATAGTTGACTTTATCAAAGTCAAACTTTATACTCTGTCTTTTCTCTGGGTGGGTAGGAGCCAAAATCTCTGTTCCATTCTTTTAATCTTTTTTGGCCCCCTGTTGCTCTGTTACCTATTGCTTCCATTTTTACTTACCTCCGTAGCAGAACTCCTTGGAAGAAATCAAAGTCACCACTGATTTAAGTTGCTAATCTGAGTCCTCATTTTGTATATCAAATGTCTGTAACATTTGATACAGATGGTTACTTTCTTTTCCTTAAATCTTCTCTTTCTCTTAGTTCTCAGGACATCTCAAATGTAACATGTCCAAAAAGGTTCATTTCTCATCTCCATCAAATCACTTCTCACCAGCTAGATTATAATAATCCTCATTGAGTCATCATTTATAGCAATAGCCTTTTTTTCTTTTTTCTTTTTTTTTTTTTTAAATACATGAGATCTTGCCATGTTGCCCAGGTTGGTCTTGACCTCATGGGCTCAAGAAGTCTGCCTGCCTCAACATCCCTAAGTGCTGGGATTACAAGGCATGAGCCACCACACCTGGCCTAGCAGTAGTCTCTTTACCCATCATACTGTTTCTATTTTTGTCCTCTTATAATTTCTTTTCAATGTAATAGCAGCCTAAGGTCAGATCTTACCACTTTTCTGCAAAAAACCCTCCAGCCTTGTTTTACTCAGTAAAAGCTACAGTTCTTATTACGATTTAGTAGACCTTACCTGATCTGCCTGTTAGATCATAAACACATTTCTCTCTTACTCTTTTCCTCTTGATTATTCACTCTGCTCTAACCAGCTTTTAGAAACTTTGCTATTACTTTTTCTTTCTGCTTGGAGTGTTCACTTGCTAATATTCACCTCCTTCAGGTCCTTACCAACTTTTAGGTGTGCTCAGATTTACTTCTTGTCAACCCACCCTCACTACCCCATTTAAAACTGCAGTTTGCCCGCGCTTTCATTGGTACTGCTAATTCCCCAAACTTCCAAATATTCTATATTTTATTTTATTTTTATTTCTGAGACAGAGTCTCACTCTGTCACCCAGGCTGGAGTTCAGTGATACGATCTTTGCTCACTGCAACCTCTGCCTCCCAGGTTCAAGTGATTCTCCTGCCTCAGCCTCCTGAGTAGCTGGTACCACAGGAGCGCGCCACCACACGTGTAATTTTTGTATTTTCAATAGAGGTGGGGTTTTACCACGTTGCCCAGGCTAGTCTCGAATTCCTGTCCTCAAGTGATCTGCCCACTTTGGCCTCCCAAAGTGCTGGGATTACAGGCTTGAGTCACCACGCCTGGCCTTATTTAAAATTTTTTTTAACCAGACTTTTACATACTGATACATCATGTAACATAGTTATTTTTATATTGTTTATCATCTGTTTTCCATATTAGAACCCTCCACTAAGGAAATATTCTTAATCTGTCTTATTCACTGACTTATCCCAAGTACATGGAACAGAGTAGTTCTCAATAAATGTATGTTGAGTTGATTTTATTTACATACAACTTCTGTTTTCTATTATATGAAATGAAAGTGTTGTATGTAGGCTTACTTGAATATACTTTTCCATACTACATATTTTTATTTTGATAGCAGTAAGAATTTTGATTCTAGTGTATCCAAGTTAGCCCTATTGGGTATATTTAGAAAAAGGAAATAAGCAGAGCAGAAATAGACATTTCTTTCCAGTGTTGTCCTAAAAGACAGAAAGTAAATCTGAGTTCCAGCACTATTCTCCTAGCTCTTCATTGTAGCGGGAGCAGAGGATTAGCACAGGGTCATCATCCAGAACTTGGGTTTGGAGTCAGAGCACATGGATTTTACCACTAGCTTGTTAACTTTGAGCAAGTTCCCTCAATTCTCTGAGTCTCAGTTTACTAAATTGTAATTGGCAGCATAATAGAATCGTCCTCATTAATGTTACTGTGGCATTAAATGAGAAACTGTACAACGTGTTTAGAAGAGTTCCCAGTACATAGTAAGTTCTCTGTACATATTTACTGTTGTTATTGAGAAGGATTATAAACCTCTGTGAGATACCAAATTAATAAAAAAACACTTAAGTGATGAAATCAGAACAGCATTGATTATTTAGATGAAGGGTCAGTGCCAGTAGAAGAACGCATCAGAAATTAAACCAGTTTTCAAACATCACTTTGAAAGTTTACAGACTAAGAGAATGATCTTTAAAAGTTTCTAGATGGTAAATAGAAATTGTGCATATATTTTTTATTTTATATATATGTATATATATATATATTTTACTAGTCTGAGAGTAGCTCTGTAATAATTTTTAGTAAAAGCTTGTATTAAAAAAGTTGTTTAGAGTTATAACCTTTTAATCTTATTTTAGTGAACATAAGATTTCCCTGCTCTTGCATTTCCTTTGACATCTAATGTTATACAACCTTGGATTCAAAGACTGCATAGACTTACAAGGTTATGTGGTTGATACAGAAGAAGAAATCTTTCTATGGAAACAAATTTATTTAATTTCATTTATTTATTTAATTATTTAATTATTTATTTAACTTTAGGTGCATACTTCATCTGGCATTTCTCCCCATGTTGTTCCTGCCCACCCTCCCACCCCCGACTGTCTCTCCTCTACTCCCCCAACTGCCCCCAGTGTGTGATTAATTTCATTTTTAAAATTTATTTTTATTTTTAGCAACCAGAATGAGAGCTGCATGTTAATTCAATGTAAGACTTCTAAATTATTTTCATACGGTATGTTATTCAAATAACAGAATAACTCCTATTAATAACTTCTTAAATTTTTTTTTAGTTAGGATAAAAAATGACTTGACAGAGTAGACTAGCCAAAAACATAACTAAGATGCAGCCCACTCGACTGTTCTGGGCTCTTCTGTTAAGGCCACAAACGAAACTTAAGCCAAGTTCCCAATATTTTCTTTGTAAAAAGCAGCAGTGTGTATGTGGAAGCTGAGGGGAGAGCAGGAAATTCCTAATAATCTTTTATTTTTCTCCTTATTTGGATAAATCTTTGTGTTATGTGGGACTTTAGGGGGAGTGGTAGGGAGTGGGAAAGGAGAGGTAGAATGGGAAGAATTTGAACAACTTTTTGCTGTGTTAAAGTAGCTAGAACACTGTTAATCTCACTTCTTGTAACTTAATAAATAAATTTATTCTCTCTTTTACATTTATGGCATTAAAAAGTAATAACAGCTACTGCTAATTGATGTTCAGCTGTGATCATCACTGTCTTGGCTACTTCACTTTTAAAAATCTTTCTTTTTTCTTTATTTCACCAGACCCTTAGATTTCTTTTAAAAACCAAATTATTCAGAGAAAAAAATCTATTTTCTATCGCTGAAATGTGATAAGTATCTATGACAGAAAAAAGAGATATTTATTTACTTTGAAAATAATTTAGAAATAGAAAACATCTTGAAAGGAGAAAAAAAAAAAACCCATAAAACATACAGGAAAATTTGTATTCTATGAGCTACTCACACCCTCACACTTGTTCACCAGTCTCTAAGATGAAAAACTCTCTTCCAAAATGTATTCAGCCACCAACAATGATGTTATTAATAGGAATAAGGATCAGTTTCACAAAGAAGCCAGTGAATCCCATTATAGCAAATCCTATTGCTGTTGCCATGGCAATCTTCTGGAATTCTTTTCTATCAGGTTTAGTGTATCTTTTAACCAGCCGAATGGAGTCGAGTCCTTTACAAACTGCTGACTTGGCTCGACAAACTGCATTACCTGATCCATGACTGCCTGCCCAACTGCCACCTAAAATGACAGGGACACGTAGCACTGGACCACTTTTTAAAATCTTATGTAGTTTTCACAGTGATTCAATGAGGATAAATAGTATTAACACTTTTTAGATGTGGAAAGTGAGATCCAAAGATATTTAGCAGTAAATTTTTGTGGGATGTTATATGAACAAAACATACGTTTAAGCCTTTTAAAGTCTCAGCCAGGACACTCTCCACAGAAACATGTTACTTTCGTTTTTTCATCTATAAAAGTAGTTTTAGGATTTATTGAAATTCAACATAATTTAAATTTTTAATCATTTTCAGTTCTCCTTAGACTGAAAAGGAAATAATGCTACACAGAGCAAATTTTAAAAATATACAACAAATAGCAATTTTGTTTTTTGCTACCAGTATGGGAATACATTATGTAAATACTTTTTAAGACGTGTTTAAAAATTGATTGTTTTTCCTTTCACTAAAATAATCTGGTGACTCAGCAACTCCTTTTTATCCTAGAAGCCTTCCTGTCTGTAAGATTGTTATATTAAGACAGCATCATATTAGAGAAGAAACTTTAAAAATTAGTAGAGATGGGAGGATTGCTTTCTTGGATTTAAATTTTCTTATACCACTTACTGAAAGAGGAAGAAAATGATCTAATGAGTAGATTTTCCAGCAGTGACATAAGGTGAACAGAAGACCAATTAAGCCTTCCCAGAACTATAGAATAATAGAATTTTTATTGCCAAATAAACTATAGGGGTCTTGAAATCTTTCATAAAATTACTGTTTTATAAATGAAGAAGCTGATACCTGAAAGACTTAAGGGGTGTGGCCAAGGTTGTACAGATAACTAGTATAACCAAAACTGGATACCTGGGCCTCTTATTTTAATTTGCTGAGAGTGTATAACTCTCAAGATAAAAATATCCAGATGCTTTCTACTCCATTGCTAAATTGAAAGGTGTGTGATAGTAGGTTGTTCCAGTATTTCTGATGGGAAGTGTGATCACTTAGTTAAGGTGGTGACCACTGGATCTCTCCTTTGTAAAAATAGAGTTTTTCTTTACATTTAGCAAGTAATCTTTGGGGGTGATACTTTGGCAACTTGCAAATATTGTGTCCTCAACAACGTCTTTTTTTTTTTCCCTCACTTTGCTGCCCAGCCTGGAGTGCACTGTCAAAAGCATGGCTCAGTATAGCCTTGACCTCCTGGGCTCAAGTGATCCTCCTACATCAGCCTCCCAAGTAGGTGGGATCAAGGCGTACCACCATGCCTGGCTGTTTTTTCAATTTTTTATTGATACGGAGTTTCAGCATATTACCTAGGCTGGTCTCAAACTGGTGTTTAAATGATACCCCCACCTCAGCCTCCCAAAGTGTTGAGATAATAGGTATGAGCCACTACACCCAGCCAACAACTTCTTGACTAATGTTTTTAGTATCTGTTGGTGATACTTACCTGAATCACTTGAATTCATTCACATATTTTCAATGATAATTTGGCATTACAAAAAGATTTTCTTCTTTTTGAAATATTTATTTGCATGTATCTTATTTATAGTAACAGTAATATATTTATTTGCCTTTATCAAAAAACTAAAAAAATCTTGCAGTTAATAATAGAATTATTGGGTGAAATTTAAGATTTTATGGAACTTCTTTTTGTCCTTTGAATATGTGTCAGTAAGACTATAATAAAATGGGTACTGTTTAAAAATTACTTGGAATAATTTTTCATTGTGGTTCTGTTACCATTTGATATATAGTTAGGTTCATTTGTTTCTATTTATTTTAGTTTAGGGACTTGGGGCGTTTTCCTTTTTATTTTTTTGAACATATAAAATACAGAAGTCATAACTATATAGAAATATGTACTCAGAATTCTTCCATTTGTATCTCCTTATCCTCATACTCATAGATAATTATTACTGGTTTCTGGCTTATTATCCCAATTTTATTTTTGTGAAGATAAAATTCTGTATATTTTTAACCTCCTTCTAAAATAAAAAGGAGCATACTACATATATCTTGTCCTATGCATTGCTTTGTAAACTTAATATATCCTGGGGATTATTCGAAATCAGTACATAGAGAGTTCCTCATTTCCGTTTTAATGGCTGTTTAGCACTGACTTGTTTGGATGAACTATGGGCTTTTCAACCAGTTGACTGTTGCTGGACGCTTGGACTGGTTTCCAGTTGTTTGCTATTCCAAATAATGTTCCACTGTGGACTCTTATGTATGTGTTATTTTGATTTTATGAAAGTACATCTTAGAATAAACTCCTGTTAGTATAATCACTGGCCACATAAGGTGAATATATATATGATATTGTTCATATTTGCCAAATTCCCTTCTATAGAGTATGTAACTATGGACATTAGCAGAGTATGAGAATACCTATTTCTCTGTAGGCTTGTTGAATGTATTGCCAAACTTAAGGATCTGATCAGTGAGGCAGTGATAGTTTTAGTTTATCCTCTGCCTTTTTAATGTATAAGGGTGACTTTTCTGTGAATTTTCTATTTGTATCTTTTGCTCGTTCTTCATTTTTCTCTTTAATTTTGGTCTTTTTCCTCTATTTTTAGAAGCTCTTTGTATAGTCAAGAGATTATTTTAATTTATGTCGTGGTGATTCTTTTTGGGTTTGCCATGCAGTTTGTTTTTATGTCCTTGAATTTATCAATATTTTCTTTTAAAGCGTTCTGGATTTGGGATCATAGTTAGAAAGGCTTTCTTAACTCCCAAGTTACAAAAAGAATACACTCTTCTGTTACTCTTCTATTTTATACTTATATGGTTTCATTTTACTGCTTTTAGATCTCTGATTCATTAGTATTTTATTCTGATGTACTCTGGTATATCGCATAAAGTATGGATTTAATTAATCTTTTTCCAAATGTATATTCTCTTGTCCCAACAGCATTCATTAAAAACTATTAACTTTTCTACTCAGTGATTTGAAATGCTACCCTTATCATGTATGAAATTTCTATGTGTGTTGGGACTTCTCTCTGGTATTTATAGTCTGTTCCACTGGTCTTGCATTAGTATTATACTGTTGTAATTGTGTATACTTTGTTTATTTATTTATTTTGAAATGGGGTCTTGCTCTGTTACCCAGGCTGGAGTGCAGTGGATCTTGGCTCACTGCAGCCTCCACCTCTCAGGTTCAAGCAATTCTCCCACCTCAGCCTCCTGAGTAGCTGAGGTTACAGGGGCACACCACCACGCCTGGCTAATTTTTGTATTTTTAGTAGAGATGGGGTTTTACCATGTTGGCCAGGCTGGCGTTGAACTCCTGATCTCAGGTGATCCACCACCTCGGCCTCCTAAAGTACTGAGATTACAGGCGTGAGCCAGTGCACCTGGCCATATGTGGATTATATAATATGTTTTAATATCTGGTAGGGCTACCTTCCCTCCCCAAATACTCCTTTTTGTGGATTTTCCTGAATTTTCTTAACTTGTTTATTTTTCATATAAACTTTATGTTCACCTTGTCTAGCTCTGGGAAAAGAAACTAGTGTTTTTCATTTGTTTGTCACTCCGGAGTGCAGTGGCACAATCCTGGCTCACTGCAACCTCTGCCTCCCAGGTTCAAGTGATTCTCCTGCCTTAACCTCCGGAGTAGCTGGGACTATAGGCACGTGCTACCACGCCCACCTAATTTTTTGTATTTTTAGTAGAGATAGGGTTTCATCATGTTGGCCAGGCTGGTCTTGAACTCCTGACTTCAAGTAATCCACTTGCTTAGGCCTCCCAAAGGTCTGGGATTATAGGCATGAGCAACTGCGCCTGGCCTGTTTTTTGTTTGTTTGTTAGTTTTCGAGATAGGGTCTTGCTCTATTACATAGGCTAGAGTGCCGTGGAATGATCTCGGCTCACTGCAGCCTCTGCCTCCTGGGCTTAAGCGTTCCTCTTGTCTCAGCCTCCTCATTAGTGGGGACCATAGGTGCTTGCCCCTACACCCAGCTAATATATATATATATATTTTTTTTAAAGAAGAGACAGGCTTTTGTCTTTGTTGCCTAGGCAGATCTCAAACTCCTGGGCTCAAGTGATCTGCCCATGTTGGCCTCCCAAAGTGTTGGGATTATAGGCATGAGCCATCACGCCTGGCCACTGCTGGTGTTTTTATTGGGGAAAATTGACATCTTTATGATACTGAGTCATCCAGAAACATGGGATGTCTTTCCATTTATTCAAGTTCTATGCTTTTTTGTTTTATCACAGTGCTTTTAATAATATGTATATAACATGTATATTTCATAAATATAAGTTACATAAAAACATGTTTAAATTTTACGTATAATTTAAAACCTATGTTTTAGTTATATGTATAATTCAATGTATATAAGTTTTATATTTAACATACATAACTCAAAAAGCTTTTTAGTATAGAAAATTCAAACACACACAGAAATTGTAAAATAATATAATGAATCCCTATGTACTATTACCCAGCTTCAACAATTAACATTTTTCAGAGTTAGAGTTTTTGACTTACAGATTTGGTCCAGTCATTGACTATATCTGACTTCAAAAGGCAGTACAACTAGTGCTCGACTTAAGACCACGGTCAGGACCGCAGACGGTCTTAACACGATTTGGTCGTAAGTTGAGTCGACTATATGTACAGTTGAAATGGTGCACGCAGAGATGGTAGTGCTGCCAGAAGCTGGTCCGCGCTGTTGTACGCCCAGCTGGGCAACGTTTGCGCTGCCAGACGCGGAGCAGTCGTGGCTAGCGATTGTGGTCGTGAAGTCGAATGGTCGTATGTTGCATAGGTCGTAAGTCGATCAGTACCTGTATGTGCTTTGGTCACTATGACTTACAGAAAAGTTTCTAAGTGGACCACATTGGTTTGTTTACGATAAAGAGCTATTGCTGATCTTTGAACTGTTAGGATACCAATTGTCTGATGTTTCAAAGAGCAATTTATAACAAAACAAAAATTTTTAATTGTTTCATATCAAAGTACAATTTTTAAGAATTAAAATT